CCCCAAAACCCCAAAACCCCAAAACCCCAAAACCCCTGGATGACCAAAAGGAATTGTATAATATATTATTTTAAACTAATGCGTTCCCTCGTCTCATCATGAATGATACTCCTTTTAGCAACTATAGTAGCTGGAGCTGAGGAAGAAGCCTCACCTGCAGCACAATGTAGATCCTGCCTTGGATATTTTACAAAGAAATGGTGAAATCCTTATGGATCAAATGATTCTGGCTTTTGCTGTGACATTACTAATAACTCAGGGAACTGAAATAATTACTCTGGAGCATTTTGAGTTGACAAATATGTGCACACCTTTGATTCTTCATTACTTGCATGTCCAAAAGATTTTTCAAATTGAGGTCAACAAAATCATAACATCAGCATCTTTGAGAAAGACAAATATATTACTCAACATATTTCTGATGAAGGCACTGTCTGTGTATTTAATTTCACAGTTATAACAAATATTTATGACAAAGTGAAGATAAGTCTGGGTAAGAAAATCTTTTACTATGAATAAATATATTTTTCTAACAATTCAGCTTTAATAACTCTCCCAAATATAGGCACCTTGAAAGGAGCGAGTGTTCAGGTTTACCTCGATGATCATGATGGAAAATATAAACTTGAGCAAGTCATTGATGATACAAAAGAAGTCGACTTTATATTAGATGCACATAAGAAATTTTATGTGTTGGTGAAACCCACAAATGATAATGCAGTAGTATCCTTATGGGTTGGAGCATATTCAAATGCGTAAATCTTGTTTAATAATTACATAGAACTGATGTGGCAATAATAATCATCCTAATAATCAGCTTTGCTCTCTTTTTAATGCTTTGAGGATTGGCCATCTTTGTGTCCTATATAGTTTTTATTAAATGAAAGGAATATAAAATGAAAAAGAAAAATAGATCCAAAAACTTAAAAACATCAAATGCTTTTGAGAATAATGAAAAACCATGGGCGACTGATAACGATCATAAGAAGTTTAAAGTTGAAATGTTAGGTAAATATTCCAATTAATCAAATTACAGATGATCCAAATTTTCTAAATGTTACTCATCCAATTAATCATGTACAACTAAAGAGTGCTCGCCAGTAAGCTTTGATATTAATTCTGTAGAGGAAAGAATCCACATATGAATAAAGAGATAATCCCAGGTATTGATGCCAATTACATAATGAGGTTTAATTCAAAAGGTAAGAATAAATCCCAAAAATGAAATTATAGTATGAAAAGTGCACAAATATTAACCTGTACAATCATGAAGGCTATTCAGAGTTATCAAACCAATCTAATATATTTATGCCATTACTCTTTTCATAGAAATTTATGACTCTGGGAAATTCTTTCTCTTAAAAGCGATAGTTGAAAATTAGGGTAGATAGAGTGTATAAAATCATTACTCTGTACTAGGAAGGACCAGAATTATGCCTCTTACAGAAGAAAACTTTGGAAATTATTTCTGCTTATTATCTTTGACTCAGGTACAATAAACATTTCCTCTCATCTAAATATTTTGAATGACAATTTGAAGTGAGTACCCTTTGTTTTCATTTGTAGTGGTCTAAATAATAAAGAAAGTTCAGTTTAGCCGAATTGTTTCGGGGTTTTGGGGTTTTGGGGTTTTGGGGTTTTGGGGTTTTGGGG